TGTATTTTTATTTTTTGTTTTTGAAAGTTCACATTCACCGATGGCACACAATGACAGACGTAAAGCGGCAAAAGCCAAGATGTGTTAATTACATACATACATACGTGCATACATACACATGTACATACATATCGATGGTCCTCTGCAATAACGGCACAACTCAAAATTTCACGATTAGTTTTATAAATAACCATATTTTTCTGTGGCAAATCGACATACGACTTAGTTGTTACCTATCCGGCAGAGGCGCAGTTTTGCCATTTGTCACAAAACCGAACCGTAGCCAACCCTTACTACTGAACAGTGGCTTATGTCTCACATTTATCGTGAATATTGGCATAAGTTAAAAACTCTCGATAGGTTGGGCATGCTTTTACAAAGATTACAGATTTTCTCTACAGAATGACTGCAAACAATCCGGAATAGTTACGTTCCCAGACATATTATTGCTAAATTACGAAACACAAAATCTTTAATTGGTTCTACTGAAATATATGAAATTTTGAGTTGGGTCGTTGGTGCAGAGGACCATCGATATGTATGTATGTATGTAGGTACAAATACATGTTGGTGTTTGGCCGCAAAACCTTTTATTTGCAAAGCATGCAAAATATAAAAATTAAATCTTCAATTGCATCTGAATTGATAGCTCTGTAAAGCTTTTATAATCTAAATCTTATCTTAACACGAATAGCATTTACCCTAGTTAGAAGATAGTATAAACTGTACAGCGACAAAAGTGCTCAAGTCAGTTAAGGTTTATAAGTCTAGAGCCTGACAGCTGTGAAGACAATCCATTATTCTATTGAGTCCTAAACAAAGCGTTGCGCTGTGGAATAACTCCATAAAAAATATGGCAAAAAGTACTAATATTGCTTCGATTTTGCTGTAATTTTTTAACTTTGCTTAGCAATAAAGAAATCTGAAAAATCGCATAGATTGGAGAACTGCCACGCCCGCCCACAATACTAGGGGGGGGGAAAATTGTAAATTTTATCCGGTTTTAATGAAATTCGTCTTATGGCTTTGTTTTAACCGGAAAATGTACAATCTGGAAGATGGTCAAAATTGTCCTACCATATAAGTAGCAAATTCCCTTTAAACTGGATAATATCGAATATATCATGTCTGCCTCCTTAGGTAGCGGGCGCGAAAGTTCACCAATAATTTTCTATACTTCTTCATTCCTAGGCAAAAACACTGCATAACAAATTCCAGTAATTACTACATACTTTATGCGGCAGCTTATATGGGAGCCTCTCATTGTCTTGGGCTTTCTGTCACTCTCTGACCACTGTGCGTTAGAAAGAAAATATCCGTCCGGTTAGTTGTAAAACATTAAGGGCCGGTTGTTCAATGTCTGATTAGCAAAAATCGGAGGTAGAAGCTCCGGTTAGATATAATGACTGCTTTGCTCCGGGTGTATTTCTGCCATGAAAAATAGCCTCTCATAATTTTTTTTTTCTTTGTGAGAAAAATATACATATGTATCGCTCAGAGCCATCAAATGAAAATTTACCAACATTTTACAAAAGTAGCGACGGTATAATCTGTAACTGGCATTTTTTCTTCAATACAAATATTTTAAAATTAAGAAGTTACCCCTTTAGACCCCTCCGTCGACAAGGGTTAAGTTTTTTTTCTGTTTTTGCAAAAATACGAAAAATCATATGCAAGTCAATAAAAATCGGTTTTCTTTAAATCATCCACTTGTTTAACCGTAATTAATTTTTGGCCAAAAAATGGGTCGAACTTTCCCATAGTGAGATGTAAAATTGAAAGTAAAAAGGAACTGGTGTGATGTGTTGAAGAGTTCATAAGTAGCTCTTTTCACATCCACCTCCAAGAGTAGTCCCGTTCAGAGCTATGTAGTTGTGAGACAGTCCGATTTGCTACAAGGTTTCTACAATTTTATATTCACGGCTGTGCCATTACAGTTGGCTTGAAGCGTTGGCGCGTAGCGTGCGACACACTTCTTGCCAAGCCGGTCTCGCCCATTTATGCAGACCGCATACATACACATACATATGTACATATGTATGTATGTATATTTGTATGAACGTATGTATGTGTGTTTCTATTTTTTTTCTGCCGATGCACTCAGCTGTTGTTGCAAAGTGTGTGGCCCCAATTTTCGCTGCTATGTATGTATGTCTTGCAACGGATTTTTACTTAACTTAATCTAATTAAAACAGTGCTTCGATTAGCGTTTATTGTTATGGGATGCGGCCGGTTTGCCGGTTAGCACTTTAAATGTTAAGTAGCAGGAGAGAAATGATGGGGCGGAGTACCAATGTATGTAGATACATACCTATGTATGTATGTATATATGCATGAATGTTTAAATATTTAGTTTATTTGCCGATGAGAGTTTGTTATCAATATGTATGTAATACTTGTACATATGTATATTCATATCCCTGCGTACTCGTATTAGTGAAAGTTTTTACTTAACGGTTTATCTGCTGCTCACTTGTTTTGTACCTATTTGGCTGTCATCAGCGTGGTGCACCTAGCTGCTGTCACGTCAGTTTTCACTTAACTTCATTTGTTTCTCGTATTTATGTATTCGTTAAACGTATGGATTTACCGCATAGAGTTATTGCTTTTCCCCGAGAAAGTATCAAAATATTACTTTCAAAAATTTGTAACCAAAAAAACAATATTGACATTTACAACTGTAGATGAATGTACATACATTGTAGGTGTTCACACTTTGCTGGCTGTTAGGTTATCTAGTTGTTTGATTATTATTCTGAAGTGTACATATTTGGTTCTTCTTCTAAACTGTATGGAAATTTTTCCAGATAACTCAAAAGCCTCTTAGATGAAAGATCTTTGTTTAATTTGGCAACGATTTCTTAAAAACCTTTAATCTTAGAAAATTAGATAATTTCATTAATTTCATTCATTTAATATCGACAAACGGTTGTATGTATTCAACCAGCAGCATGAAAAGTGGAGACTTAGGGGGCCATCTCATCTCTTAAAAGCAACCCCATTATCCCGTTGTCAAATTTACTGACGCAATGTTACCACAGTTATCCTTTATTAGTCTCCACAAGGCAATAATTGCTGTAAGAGACTCTTGTAAAGCGATAATCCCAACGATTGGCGAAAGAGTCCCAGTTAGGTGCACTGATGGACCAAAATTTGCGATCGTATAACGTATATGTATTCATATTAGAAGGACTAATGTGGTACCCTTTAACGTCATGCCAGCCAGCTAGGCAGCAATGAATTGATAGCTTTGGACGCAAGTTTCAGTTCCATTCAAAGGATGTCAGCTCAATCCCATTCAGCTAACACCCCTCTCCCTTTGGTCCTACCCCGTCGAAACAGCTCGTTTCTTGGGCCTACCGTTCGTTGAGCTTGACGACAACGATTGATAGACAAATCGACCAAGTGGGGCTCAGTAGTTCCGCTACAACAAAATGGCGGAGCATCTAAGAAGGTAGAGCACTGGCGTACGTCAAATGGCAAAACAAAATACAATTCTAAGGTAGGTAGTAGATCTGAGAGACTGCTTTAACTGAGCCTGGAGGGTCTAAGAACTGTCACTGGATACCTGACAGGACACTGTAGGCTAAGGTACAATTCTTCTTAAAAAAATGACTCTCTGAGCAGAAGGACTGCAGGTTTTGTTGGCTAGCGGAGAAACCCCAGACAAAGTAATATGTAACTAGCCACGTACAAGTAGTGTTAAACTTATACAGCTTGGAGAATGAATATCTCCATCGGGAATCTACAACATGACACCCTCCAAAGTAAGTGGCTACTTCTCAACCGCAAGAGTGTTGTTCTAGTATTTAACAATAATGATCCGCTAACAAATGGAAATATTTTCCTACAAGAAAACGTTCCTAAGAGCGCAGATATCAAATCCGATTTACATTAAACTTTGAACCTGTTAATGTTCGTTGCTTTCCAAAATTTCTGCCTTTCGGCAGTCTGTGCAGTCAAGTCAGGAAGGAGTCAGGAATTTTGATTTGTTAAAGGAAACTTACATATAAAAAGAATATACCTTCTCTTTCAGGTTCGCTTAGAATCAATCGGTGCTGAGGATATTGTCGACGGAAATCCCAGATTGATTTTGGGTTTAATTTGGACCATCATTTTGCGGTTTCAAATACAAGAAATTGAAATTGATGTGGTAAGTTTTGCAATTCGTTTGTTATGCTTCACTAAACGGGCGCCATATATCCATTGTATACGCCTATACTCCATTTAATTATTAATTCATTATTCTTGTGTTTGAAAGGATGAAGAAAATGAATCATCCGAGAAGCGTTCGGCGAAAGATGCCCTGCTGTTGTGGTGCCAGCGTAAAACGCATGGTTACCCCGGTGTTAATATACAAGATTTCACATCCTCCTGGCGCTCGGGTCTGGGCTTCAATGCGCTTATACATTCACATCGGCCCGATCTCTTTGAGTACAGCACAATTGTTAACTCGAAGAACTCGAATATTGACAATCTGAATCATGCCTTCGATTTGGCTGCCTCCGAATTGGGTATACCAAGGTAAGTTTGCGCGCGCTTAACCCTTATATGGTACTAGAATTAATTTGTATAAAATTCCTGTAGCTTATTAGATGCCGAAGATGTGGACTCTGCACGTCCGGATGAGAAGTCCATCTTGACATATGTTGCTTCATACTACCACACATTTGCTCGCATGAAAAATGAACAGAAGAGCGGGAAACGTATTGCCAATGTAAGTGCAAATAATCACTAACAACAACAAAACACAGTCGAACTCAGCGGCGTGGATTTGCATACAAAGAGTTCACATGAGCGCACTGTAATTCCAAACGCCTTTATTAACTGCAATTTTGCTCTGGGCGCAACTCGATAGCTGCGCTACAAAAGTACAATTATATAGAGTTTTACGCTCTATTTGTTGTCTCGCTGAGATTCAATGGCTAGCCCTTAGAATGTGCATACCTGAACACAATTATTTTTTCCCACTTTACTGTTAGCGATGGCGGGCAGTCGATTGATTTATTTATTCAATAATAATTTGCTGCTTTTATGTATTTTCTAATATCTTCCATTAATTATTCGTTGTTTTCTAGATTGTGGGACAGTTGATGGATGCTGACCGCAAGAAAATCTATTACGAACGGCT